TATATCGTATTAGTTTCAAGAGGGATCATTAATGAGTAACTAAAATAGATACTGATTTTTAGAAAAAAAAAAAAAATGTATAGTTCTAAATTTTTCTCAGTTCTGTTACTACTGCGGCCTTTACATAATACATAAGATCGTATATGTGTTCTGGAAATGGTTAAGGGAATGAGAAGCAAGTTGAACTATTAAATATTGAGATATGGACTAAGTACCAACCAAAGCGCATCTGGTGTAGTGGTATCATAGTACCCTCCCACGGTACTGACCGGGGTTCGATTCCCCGGATGCGCACTTCTCTTGTTTTTTCTTTTGTTTTTTATCAGACCTAAACGAAGGATGTTTTGTGGAGGATATTGATATTTATGCCGCTTGGTATATAAAATATATATATATATATTGTGTATTGTTTTTAAGTTATTTAATTTATGTAAATTAAATTAAATTAATTCAAAATAAAAAAAATTTGAGTAAAAAATAATTATCAAATAAAATTTCAATTTTCCACTTACAATTCTTTTAATTATTAATATTAAATTTATATTTCTAACATTTTTGAAAAAGATCCAAAGTACTTTAAAATTTATTTTTGATTGAAAACGTTTTAAATAATTTTTGTTGCAAAAATAAGCCAGTTCTGATTAGAAGGACAAAATTACAAAAAGGGTGGTGGGCCCCAGTGGGCCCATTTTTGTTATGTCCACTCCTCCACGGGGCGGATCCAACCAAAGTCTATTGTTTATAAAAAATATCATTAATTAATTTTTAAAATTTACAAGTTATTATAATTTAGCGCACAATATTTTTTTTATATTTTTCGTACTTTTTTATGTTTTTTAAAGAAAAAATATAATAATTATAATATGTTTAAATATTTTTTTAAAAAATATTTTTTATTGATTAATAAAATTAATAAATTAATAAAAATAAAAAAGTCTTAATGGCATTACTAATTTATTAATTTAATTAATTAGTAAAAATTATTGGTTTGGATTATTTTTTAAAATACCCAAATATTATTTAATTATTTTAATTTTTCATTAGAAAATTAAAAAATTAAATGTTTAAAACAAATAATAATCGTTGGCGATTAAATTATAATGAAAAATTATTAAAAATTTGTTTTGTAAATATATAGTTTCTAAATTTTTTATTATGTTTTTCTATTAAAAAAAAATTCATAATTATGTTGAAAGAGAAAAAAATGATAATTTTTTTATATTGAAAACTTGTAAATTAATTAAATAATAATAATATAATATTGTAATAAAAATATACAAATTTTATTCTTTGTGACCTTAACCCACATTTTTATAAATTAATAATTAAAATGTCTTGAAATACTTAAAATACTATATATATATATATATATATTTTAAATGTTTTAAGTTCATTAAAATGAAAATAATATTTGCTAATTCTTTATGTAAAATTTCCAATGGCTGCCCCAAAATTTATTAAAAAAACAATGATTGATTCTCCCGAGAGGTCCCAATTATCTCGAGCAAACATATTAATTTGAATAACGCATTTATGTTATGATATTAATACTTGTACTTACTCTGTTATTTTACGAAATTTTGGGTGAAGAAGGGTTACGAGGTGTAAAAGAAAATATATTAACTTATCGTAAAGTTTAAAAGACTGTTAAAAAATCTAAGAAACATGATAATACCATTTTAATAATTGCGGTTCAATCAAATTAAATTATTGCATTAAATAAATTATTTTAATTATAATTAAATAAAAATAAATTTAATTTATAAATTTGAGGATTTTTTTTTGTAATAAAAAATAATAATAAAATATTAAATTTGAGTGGAATTAAATGTTATAAATATATCGTTAATAATTATAATATTTAAATATAATAATTATTAAATCATAATATAGGTAGTTAGGTAAGGGGTTGGACAACCTTGCACACATTTATCTCAATTAGATTTGGAAGGAAGTGAATGGGGGGTGGGGTCCATTTGCATTCATATGTCAATTATATATGAATTTCCCAAACTCCCCATCACTTTCTAGATTTTAATCACGGTGATTAGTTTCCCTAATCTAGTTTTTAATCAAATTAAGAAGTTAATTATTTTTTATATTTAAAAAATTAATCCATTCACATGCCTACCCACCAGCCAAATGTGGTGTAGGTAGAGAATTAGAGCTTAATTTGTCCGTTGTAGGAAGCTGCTTCTGCAATTTCCCTCTATTTAAATCAACACCATGACCGCAAAAAAGGCCAAGCCAAATTCTATCTTCCCCCAAATTAAAAGCTTAAATATTCAGAGAGCTTGTCCCCCAAAAATCTGCTTTGAAACTTTTCTTGCTCAAATGAGTATTCCAACAGTCAGTTGCAGTTTTCCTGCTTTCTTCTATCTCATATATATATATATATATATATATATATTGTAGTATATAGTATATTATATTATAGCAGTTATCTGGGTTCTGTTGTGTGAAATGCTCATTTGGGCAAGCAACGTTTAAAGGTGGAACTTCTTGTAATTCAAGAAAAGATTATTCCAACAAAAGCCGTGAAAAAGCACTTAAAGTTAAGCACTTGTTAAAAACCCATCTCTGTTCATACTTGTTATTTTGATTGCTGCTTGAAGAAAAGCTCAAATGAAAGATTCAAAGTCTAAAGCAGATATGTATAAACAATAAAGCTCTCACATGAACTGTATCAGCACCAAACATCTCCCCATTCACAAAGCAAAGCATCTCTAAAAATCCCTCTTCTTCTTCTTCTTCTTCTTCTTCTTCTTCTTCACTTCATCCATGGCTTTCTCCTTTGCAACCCACTTTCACCGCCATCTTCACCACCAATCCACTTATCTGCCATGTCAAGTAACCTCTTCTCTTCCCCTTCTTCCACCATGCTTAATACCCTTCTTCTCATCATTGTTTCTTCCCTCCTAATTTCCCTAGGTAATCAGTACAAGTGAGATTACTAAATCTTTGTGGAGTACTAATTGAATTTTTGTACTGTTTAATGAATTGGGTTATGTTTATTCGATCATTCACGAATTGGGTTATGTTTATTTGATGATTGACATGTATAGATCTTCTGTTTTTGTCAGGAACGGAGGGAGCTATCGGAGTAAACTACGGTACGGTGGCGAACAACCTTCCTCCGCCGAGGAAGGTGGCTAATTTCTTATTAGAATCCACCATTATTAACAGAGTTAGACTCTTCGATGCAAACCCAGAAATCCTTGAAGCATTTGCTCATACTGGAATTGCAATCACCGTCACTGTACCCAACGATCAAATCCCTCACCTCACCAAGCTCAGCTTCGCTCAACAATGGCTGAAAACCAACATCCAGCCTCACGTTCCTTCGACCAACATAGTCCGAATCTTAATTGGAAACGAAGTTTTATCAACCGCTAACAAGATGTTAATTGCAGGCCTTGTTCCCGCCATGCAGAGTCTCCACACGGCTCTCGTCGGAGCTTCCCTTGACCGGAGAATCAAAGTTTCAACACCTCACTCGCTCGGCGTTCTGTCAACTTCCAGTCCACCGTCGACGGGAAAGTTCCGGCAAGGCTACGACACCCATGTGCTTAAACCCTTGCTTAGTTTCCTTAGAGCCACCGATTCTCCTTTTCTCATAAACCCTTATCCGTTTTTCGGATGCTCCGCTGACACGCTGGATTTCGCGTTGTTCCGGCCGAATTCCGGCGTCTTCGACGAAAATACCAAGCTGCTTTACACCAACATGTTGGATGCTCAGCTCGACGCGGTGTTTTCCGCCATGAAACTCTTGGGTTTCAACGACGTTGAGATTGTAATCGCCGAGACTGGGTGGCCGTCAATGGGGGACTCCGCGCAAGTCGGCGTCGACGCCAATAGCGCCGCCGAGTACAACAGCAATTTGATGAGGCACGTGAACTCCGGCGCCGGCACACCGCTGATGCCGAACCGGACATTCGAGACGTACATATTTGCTTTATTCAATGAGAATCTCAAACCCGGTCCAGCTTGCGAGAGGAACTTCGGTCTGTTCGAACCGGACATGACCCCGGTCTACAACGTCGGAATCCTCCGGTCCACGGTAGCCGCCGCTGCCGCTGCTGTTGCTGATCATAATGATCATCACCATCTTTCTACTACAATTTGTTTCTTAGTCATTACAGTCGGCCTTCTAATAATTAATAGTCATGGTGATCAAAACATGATCTATTAATCATTTATAAACCCTAATCAATATAATTCTCAATACCGATTTCTTGATTTGCTAACTTTATTTTTAATTTTTTTACTGTAATGATCGAATTAATCGGGTTGCGCAGGCTAGGTCAACTTTTCCGAGGAATCCATCACCGACTGTACCCGTGCCGGCGGCGAGTGCTCCATCTCCGTCGCCGCCTACGGAAGGATCTGGGCTGTGGTGTCTCCCGAAAACGGGGGCCGAGACAGAAGCTTTACAGAGGAATATTGATTATGCGTGCGGGTCGGGTTTTGCGGATTGTGGACCCATTAAAAGTGGCGGTGCTTGCTTTCTTCCCAACACAGTCCGAGCTCATGCGGCATTCGCCATGAATGCTTACTATCAAGCTACTGGAAAGAATGAGTACGATTGTGACTTTGATCAAACTGGAGCCATCACCGACGTTGATCCAAGTATATATATATTCATAAACACTTTCAGATGTTCTTTTTGTTTCTTGATATTGAATATATTGTTTTCTTTTGGTATTTACAGGTTATGGGAAATGCAAATATTGAATTGTGGCAAAGAAGAAGAAGAAGAAGAAGAGGAAGAAGAAGAAGATGGAGACTTTCTTTGAGTGTATTTTTTGGCCATAGATTAAAAATTAGACCAATATATTACTCTAAATGAAATTTTAATTAATTAAAAGGCTATTTCTTTTTTATGGTTAAAAATTATGAAACTTAAATCTATATATTTTCTATATATATATATATAATTGTAATAAGTTTGCCGAGATTATAGAACCTAATTTTTTTATTCATATGTTTCTAAATTAAGTTCTTAACTTTACTTAATTATTAATTATAAATTAATCATTATTAATTTTTAATATATTTATAAAATAATAAATTCAAGTATAATATATGATTTAACAATTATATTACTTTATTTTTTATGGAATAATAAGGTTTTACTATAAGTAATAATATTTTATTCAATAAAAATTTTTGCCAATGAATTAAAATTTTTTATCATACACGGTTAAACGAATTAAAATATATATATGAATTAAATTTTTTTATCCATTCTATGACAAACTTACCCTCTAGTTTTGTGCCCTTAGTAGGCATAGTATTTCCGACAATTGCAATGACTTTTTTATTTCTAGAAAAAATAAGATTGTTTAGATTTGAAGAAACAAAATCTTATACATATATATATTATTTTTAAAACTTAAATAACACATATATATATTTAATAGAATATTATATAATATGTAGATTGCTACGAATATAAATGAAAGAAAACTTTTATGTGTGCATAAAGATAATATATGAATGAATGAATTATAACTATTTTCAAAAATAAATCGTAATCGGATTATTATTATTTATAACAAGAAACTATGATGCTATTTAAATAAAATATTTTTATAACAAAAATCAGATGAAAATAATATTTTATTTCAATATGACAAAACTTTTACACTATATATTTGTCTATAAGTGATTTTTAATTTATAGTTATAATTAGAAAAATATGTAATATTTGAATCTGAAATTTAGTATGGAATTAAATTTAACATTCTAAAATATATAAAAAATTTATTTTTAAAATTAATAAATTTTAATTTAATGTGAAATTATGATAAACAAATATGTTAGAAATGAAATTGAAAATATTTTTAGATAAAAAAAGTGAAAATTTGAGTTCGGATACTGTTTTTAAAAGAAAATTCATAAACTTAGGGTCAAAAAATAAATAAGAAATAGGACCGTCCAGTCAGCAATCTTGATGAATCGGAGCATATTGCGTGGCAAGTCACGCTGACTTGATGCCACACGAGAGACCACATTAACGATCCACGTGCCCTGCAATCGGACGACCCATAAGCAATCCCACGCGTGTGGAAGGTTCAGATCCATTTTCTCTTTAGGCACGATCAGACAGTTGAGATCAAATGCGATGAACGGTTCAAATTTGTTTCTTCATTAGGTGCAATCGAAC